GGACAAGATTACACATTGATTTCGCTGGTCCAGTAGAAGATTATTACTACTTAATAGTGGTAGATAGTTTTACAAAATGGCCGTAAAGTACTACGCTGCAAAAAGCCTAAGTCCAATACCACAACAACTTTTTTTGCATGAACTATTTGCATTGTTCGGTGTGCCAGAGTGTATTGTGAGTGACAATAGTACACAATTCACTTCTGAAGAATTTAAGGAATTTTGTGAGTTATATCAAATTAACCACATAACGACGCCCACCATATCATCCGAGGTCCAATGGACTCGCAGAAAGATTTGTCGATACTTTAAAGCGCGCTCTGAAGAAAGCCTCATGAGTTCCAACGGAAAAGGCGCTTCAGCAATTCCTACAAAGTATACAGAATCACGCCAAACCAGAGAACACACTCAAATATGGCACCAGCTGAACTAACGTTCGCTAGGAAAGTTAAGTCAGTGTTTGACAAACTTTGCCAGGAAAAATAGAGTAAAGAATACTATGTATACAGCGAGAAAAAAGATACACCTCCGGAGAGAAGGTGTTTTTAAATGCTACAAAAACAACGTTGAGTTCTGGGAGCGAGGCATAGTGGACAAGAGAATCGGTGACCTGATTTACATAATTAAAGGGCCGAAGAATACTCATAAAAGGTACCAGAATCAACTTAAAAAATGTTACGTTATAGAGCATGAAGAGAGTATACCGGATGAGGAGGAAGGTCCCATTGAGGTAATGTATGATATGTTTCAAGTAGAACCTCCGCAGAATACTCCTGAACCGAGAAAATCCGGTAGGAAACGAAAGTTCACGGACCCATTGGACGTGAATCCAAAACGGAAAAAATATTAAAATTAAGCGAATGGACATATGCATATGAAGTATGCAAATGGATCTACAAAGAAATAGCCATAATCATCAACCTATATAGGAAGCCAGTTTGAAATCTAAAAGGGATTCCAAGGCTTGGGAGGGGGGTTGTGGTAGGATCCACCTAATTTGTATAGTGGAGTACCGACCATATAAATATGGTTGGTACCGGAAGAGAGGGAGGAATCAAGAGATTCAACCAGAGACTCTGCCCGACTGCGACTCAGTCAACACATTCCCCAGGAACGGTCTTACCAGGAATATACAAAAGAGTATATGTAAATATTGTGTACACTTTCTTGTTTCAATACATGTTGTTCTAAGTACATTTTGTGTTGCATTATTATTCCATGCATTAGTCAAGTTTCAACAAGCCATTGTCTGCGATGGATGTTACTGTAAGGAAGCGTACGAAAATTGCAACGCTGCACGAACACAATGGCAAGTCTTACCAGTGAGCAAATCAAAATACTCTCAATAGGCGCGGAAATTCCCCTGATTTAAATGGAATCAAAAATCTGTAGTTAATCTGCACAGAGATTATAAAACAGAGTATTTACTTAAATATTTGTATCTATAAAAAAGAGAATGTATGAACATAAAAATGTCTTAAAATAATTTTCGAACTTTGTCCATTTCATAATGTGTGACGTCATTTGTTTACATTTGGATACGCATTGAGTAGATATGAATGTACGTGAGAGAATCATGGACTATTGTAGTTTAAAGACAGTAAATTCGACCTTGCTAACCGAACGCTCCTCTGTGGCTAAATCGGTTAAAGGCACGTCAGGCTATATGACGGTTCCGTATAGGTTACAGGTTTGATTCCTGTCGGAGGACGAATATTTTCTATGAAAAATTCTCGGACATTCAGGCCGGTAAATGTTGTTTAATACTGTTTATTATAAGCAGCGCATTTACTTAAATATTTGTATCTATAAAAAAATAATGTATAAAGATAGAACTGTCTTAAAATAATTGTCTGACTTTGTCCATTTCACACACACACACACACACACACACACACACACACACACACACACACACACACACATATATATATATATGTAAGCAAATATATGGATATAGATCCGACAGTATGAAGAAAAATATATACGGAAAAAACAAACAAAAATCCTTTTATACAATTATGCTGTTTTAATGTTAATATGTCAACGTCGGACGTTTCGGTCTAATAAACCATCTTCAGGACATATTCATAAAATATAATTAACATTATCAGTTCAACATGACAAAGACGATGTACATAAGAACAAGACTTATCCAAACAGATAACTGAAAGTTTTATAAGATATATATATATATTATAATTGTTTCCTATAGACAAAAATAATTTACTCACTACAAAGATGCAACTTTGTTTCAGTGCATTTAATTGCACTTCGGCTGGTGAGAACCAAAAAAGGTTATAAACAATTCTGTTTGTAAGGAAGCCGCATGTGAAACATCACTTTGAAATGCACTGAAACGAAGTTGCATCTTTGTAGTGAGTAAAATGGTTTTGTCTAGATGATAAAATTATAATAAAGGGAATAATTATCGCTCTACTATCGGTATCGAGCCCTCTTATGGATTAATGATGTGAACGTTGGAATTTATATATTACTTTCGTTCTCATCACATCGGATATATATATATATATATATATATATATATATATATATATATATATATATATATATATAACACTGCCCTTCATGAAAAATGGAATTTTTAAAGCATTCTGAATGTAAAAAATAAAAGAAAAAAAAGTGTGCAAGACAATAAGAAATACTACCTGCCAAAAAAAGTGAAGTTTTGTTGAAATCGGTTGAAAAATGTAAATCCGATCCAATATATAAACGTACACACACACACACACACACACACACACACACAACTTGGGTTTTATAATAAGTATGATATATAGTTTTGTTATATATATACATATATATGTTCATATTATAAATACATACACGCACACACACAGGTACGCACACACACATACA